GCTGGACTCGTTTGAGTCCCATTTCTCTTTTTGGGGTTTTTGTTGTTCTCCCGCCCTGGCGGGGGGTCGGGCTAGAAGATCTACTAGGTCCCTTCCGACCCTTAATCTATGAATCTATGAATCTATGAATTTATGGTGGCTGCCCACTGATTTCGCAGACAGAACGTGGCCCTGCCCATCACCACTGATTGACTATGAGATCTGTCTGTCATGCAGCCCCATCCTTTGCCACCAATTGGTGGAGAGGGGCAGGACCACATGACAAGCAAACCTTGAAGGGTGAGGGTGGTAGCCCTTTGAGTGGGCAGCTACCCCTTTCCCACTGGGCAAGCTGCTGCAACACCCTGATGATGGCAGACTCCCTTTGGGGAGCCAGAATTTTATTTTCTGTAAGCCTCCCCGCTCCCCCGTGCAGATTTCATGGGCATTGCCCAGATTTTGCAGAATCCAAGAAATTCACAAAATTGCAAATTTGGTAGGTCCCTACTTATATTGTGCTACTGATGCAAAAAATGCCAGTAAGATACAGGGATGTATTAAGAGGGCTATTGCAGTCAAGTCACAGGAAGTTATTCCTTCTGTTTAGCACTTTTGTGGCTTCACTTGTGTCCAGTTTTGGGCACTACACTTCAAGAAAGACATGGGCAAATTGGAAAGAGTAACAAAAGAGCAACGACAACATGGAGATATACAAGGGAAGGTTGGAATAATCGGGTTTACTTCAGGAGGGATAAGGCCAGCATTGAGAGGGTCCAGAGGAGGGCCACTCATATGATCAGGGGGCAGCAGGGCAGGCTGTACGAGGAGAGGCTAAGGGTTTATATACGGCCACTAGATCCCCTCTCAGCCTTCTCTTGTGGAGGCTGAAACCTGTTCAGCCTCCACAAGAGAAGGCTGAGAGGGGATCTAGTGGCCGTACATAAAGTTACCAGGGTGGACCAGAGGGGACTGGGTGAGACCCCGTTTCCCCGAGCACCTCCTGGAGTAACAAGGAACAATGGCCATAAGTTGATTGAGAGTAGGTTCAGGCTAGACATCAGGAGGCACTACTTCACAGTCAGGGCAGCCAGGGTCTGGAACCAGCTTCTAAGGGAAGTAGTGCTGGCTCCTACCTTAGGGGTCTTTAAAAGGGGGCTTGATAACTCCCTAGCTGGGGTCATATGGGCTTAAACTTAGTAGGGGTTGTAAGAGCCCTGTATTCATTCCTGCCCAGGGCAGGGGGTCGGATTAGATGATCTGCTCGGGTCCCCTCCAACCCTTCTTCTATGAAACTACTTAATGTGGAAGAGAAGACTGAGGGGTGATTTGGTAACAGTCTTCAAATACAAAAAGGGTTGCTTATAAAAAAGGATGGTAGTAGACCTATCTATGTCCACAGTGAACAGGAGAAGAAATGATGATTTTTAAATTGTAACTGAAGAAATTTAGGTTCAATATTAGGAAGCACTGGCTCACTAAGTGTTTTTAAGCACTGGAACAGACTACCTAGAGAGGTTATGGAATCTCCATCTTTGAAGGATTTTAAGTGCTTGTTAAATAAGCATTTTGCTGGGAAAACAGGCAGGGATTTCTGCCTAAAACAAGAATTGGACAATGTGACCTCTTGAGGTCCCTTCCAGCCACTTTTTTTTTTGCCTAGGATTCTTTAATCCTTTTCCATACCCAGTTGTGCTTGTATAAGTGTATCATCTGCCCATGTCTATAATTGCAAATTAAATGTTTTAATAGTTGCCAACCAATGAGAACTGATCTTCAAAAAGTATCAACGCAAATCAGTATTAAAGTTCATTATTTAAATACATCTTTCCTGCTTGTCAGCGTTTTAAAACTCATTCTTAACATCAATTATTTAAATCACTTTAGGATACATTGTTCAATTTCTCTGCTTTCAGCCCTCTCTTTGTGCTATGTGGATTCAGTGATTTCTTGTTTTAAACATTGACTCTGTATTTGACTGCCTTGCTTCTTGTTCTTCTGCCCCTCTAACCATTGGTTTTGGTGTTTCTCTGTACTGAAGTCACCAAACTCTTGTAATTCCATATTTTCTTATAACAGCTGAAGTGGTTAAAGAACTTATGCTATTTCTAAAAGTTTGTGGTGTAGGTGAGGATTGATGGAGCTCAGTCAAGGTGAATGAAATGGTACAGGGAGTGGAAGGAGTGGTAGAGATTTGTCCCCAACTGCAGTCCTCACCTTGCATTATATAAGCTGTCAGTCTGAGTGTATTGGGTCCTTACATTTTTGCTGAAGATTTTTTTTAAGGGTTTCCTAACTTAAACTTGATAAAAAGGGTGTAATCTTTTCTTTTGATTTTACCACAGTTATCTATCCCTTTCTCACATCCAGATTGCTGCTGTGAGCTCTATACGGGGGCTACACGACACCTGAAAATTGCAGTTAGTGCAGACTGCAACTGCATTTTTATTAAATACCTCTTCCTGTAGAGAGATGTTGCACCTGTGCTCTGAGAGTTGCTGTAGCTGTCAACTGACTTTCTGATTTTTCAGTGATGTTGTTGATTTTTGACCAACACAAATGTAGATTATTTGAAACCTGCCTACCTTGGATAAATTCTACCCTTATGCTGTTCTGTGACTACGTGCTAGTCCTATGTGCTCAACTGCTAGCAGTTGGCCTAATTTCTATGGAGTTTTTGTGGGTGAAGCCCTGCTAGCATAGGTGTTCTATTTTAGACCTGATTTCTGTTCTGCTTTTTAGCCAGAACTTGGAATTGGTGCTACAAGGCACCAGTTGGGCATGGACCAACCTTTTCTTTCAGGTTTTTTATGGGGTATGATGTTGAAGGCTCTGAGGGAGGTTTGGGAGTAAAAGATAAGAGGAGAGTCTGTTATTAGCTGGCTCTAGGGGTGTACTGATAGAGATTTTGGGGTCGATACTGACAGCTGAATTTTAAGGTTGTATATTGGCCAATACCAATCTGATTTCCGATACAGCTGTGTCCAGCTGGTAAGTCTGCTGTGGTGGAAGGGGTGTTGGGGGCAGATCAAGGCCCCTGCAGTGAGGGAGGGAGTGAGGTTGGGGCTTGGGCAGGCACTGCCCAGCTGGGGTGGGGCAGAGTGTGGGACAGAGCCATGGCTCATCTGGGAGGTATTGGGGAGGCAACTCTCACTGCTGCACATACCCTGGCGGGCGTGCCCTGGATCTGTGCAGGGAATGGGTGGGGTGGGCTGCAGCTGCAGCTGCAGGCTGGGGCTGGCACTGAGGCTGTGCCAGGCAGGCGGCAATGGCACTGGGAAGGGGCTGCAGCCACCCAAAAATCACTATCTAGCCCCACTGTGTCCTCACCTCGATCTGCCCCCCCATGCCCCTCCCTTTCCACCACAAGAGACTTACCCGCTGCGCACAGCTCTCCATGCTGCTGGCTGTGCTCCTCACTGCCGATGTGCTGTGACGTGGCTGCGCACGTGCACGGGCCATTTATCAGCCAAATTATCGACCATATCAGGCCAATTTCCAATATAGGCTATTTTCTTTATATCAGTGCTGATCCGATATCGGACCAATGTATCGGTGCACCTCTAGCTGGCTCAGCTCTTTTATTTTCTTTAGCTTTTGGTACAAGCTAAAAGACTGACTAGAACATTTTGCATTAAGTAAATAATAAAATCAAAATTCATGTTTTGGTTATCTTTTACCAGATGCTTGTCTCCGGCTTCCCCCATCTTGCCTCTTCATCCTTTGACATCTCTCTGACATGCTCCAGATTCTTTCAGTTTGTCTTTTTTCCTTATTGAATTTTTCTTGATCTTTCAAAACTTGTGTAGTCTTGTTCTTCCTACATCTTTACTCGTGTTCTGTTTCTTCTTCCTTTCCAAAGGCTGGCTTTAGGTCAGGGATGTCAGACTTACCTTATACCCTAGGTTGGATTTGGATGACAGAGCTTCTTCAAGGCCTGATGCAGCTTAGGGCATGCAGCGGCAGCAACCCCAGTTCTGGAAGGGGATGCAGCAGCGGCAGCAACCCCAGTTCTGGAAGCGGATGCAGCAGCGGCAGCAGCTCCAGTATGGGGCAGCTTTGGCTCCTGCCACGTGCTCCATGCTGAAGCTGTCACTGCTGCCACATGTCCCATCTGTGGCAGTAACTCTAGGTCTGGCTCTGCCATAGGACACATGGCAGCTCTGATCATCTCCAATTTTTTAACCACTCCTCACTCTTCAGAAATAGTGTGAATCTTTTAGAGAGGAAAGTGTTAACAACTTGTTAAGGCAAAAAAGGTGTTTATGAAAACTTAGTAACAGAGGTAGGGCTACATTAGTGGCAAAAGGATGAAGTGATTGGAGAGTGACTATATTAGCCCTCACTTGCCCTACTGCCCATGATTCCTCGTCCACTGGGGCCTAATGGCCCTGGATTCTGTGGTGGGCTGTTCATCCCTGCCGAGACCCCCCCTCTCCCCAACTTCTAGTTGCCTGCCTCAGACAGCGTGGCTCCATGGGTCAGATCTGCCTAGTGACTTCTGTACATTTGACATCCCTGCTTTAGCTATTGTTTCATCCTGGCGTTTCCACATTTCTTCCTAAAGTCCTTTCTGTCAGCCTGGAAGACACCATTGGACTCTTGTTTACATAGTTACTTCATGTTTGCACTCTCTGTAGCCTTCCCAAAGTGGTGTAGTGTCTTCTTAATGTAAGGTTTTTCAGGGCAGACACTTCTCATATTTTGTGCTTTGTACTATACTCATTAGCAGCATGATAAAAATGGCACTGGTAAAAGAATGTATTTACTTATAGTTACTGAATTTATTTGTACTATGGAATGTCATAAACTTATATATGTATTTTTTAAACAGGCAACAAATACACAAACTGGAAAACCTAGTACAGATCGGTTCATCTGACTTCAGTAAGTTTTAGATACTCACTTCTTTCTTGGGGTGGGTTAATGGGCATACAGCTTTGACCACTATGGGGTCTTGATTCCTGATTGGAGCATTTGTGCACTACTTCACTACAAACAACATGTTTTAGCAAAATGCAGTAATGACTTATTATCTCTGGCAGTATACCTACATTCCTGATGCAGTTGACTAAGGTTAGTGGGAAGGTCTGATGTTACCTTTACCAGTAACAGTTAAGCATCTGCTTTAACTGCATGTTGATTATGTAGCAAATGTACAGGGTGAAATTCTGGCTTCATTGAAGTCAATGGGAATTTTTTCATGGACTTCACTGGGGCCAGAGGCTACTTGTAATTCATGACTTTGTGAACCATTCATTCTTTTAATTAACTGTAAAAAAGTTAATTCAGAGTTCAGAATGATTATTCTAGTAATAATTAATGTTTTTAAATATTCTTCTGCTTTACCTTTCAAACAAGTTAGCTTATATTTGCTTACTTTGTAAGTTACTCACAGACTTCATTTGTCTTTCCAACAGAATCAATGAAATGGGAGCCCTACAAAATAGCTTGTTTGAATAAAATATTAAGGAATGGGAAGCAGTATCTTTGTGAAGGATTATTGCAGTTTTGGACTTATTTTTAGTCTGGAAAGATAATTACTTCAGTAAATGGAGAAGTCCAGTAATTGCTCAGAAATGCACTGTCTATAGTGTCTTGATGTTATCAGTAAATAGGTATTGTTATGAAGATAGAAATAAACATTTGCCAGTAGCATAACTGAGTAGGGCACAAGCCCTAGGCATTGCCTAAACGGGGTGCTGGAATTGAGGCAAGGAGTGCCTTGCCCCCCACAAGGCCCCCTGCATTATTTATCTTTCCTGAAGAGGCTCTGGTAGCCAGCACAGAAGAGTTGGTGGGGAGGAAAGGGATGGGAAGGCGGGATGGGTTCCAGTGTGGCCAAGCACCAGAGGGTTAACTCTCATGTTTCTTTTTTTGCATTAACTTCTTTAAGATCAGTAGTTTGCACCCAAGTTTGGAGTTGCACCTCTGATCCTTGTGATTTTTGTTGGAGGTTGTCAAACCCATATTCTCTTTATTTGATGGTCCAAGTAAACAGCTATTTTAAGTTTTAGTAGAGTCTAGGTGTTAGCAAGTTCTGTTAAGTGTGCCTAATTTCAAGGGTTTTTTGACTGTATCATAAACCTCTAGTTTTAGTTTATTTATAATATTTAAAGTCTCAGTCTGACCTAAATGTTGTGGTATCAATTTCTGTGTGCATTATGCACATATCACATGACAAATCATAACATGCCAACAGGCCACATCATAAAATTATTTCACCATGAAGATATTCTTTCAGCTTCCTTGAAGTAACTTTCTTGGCTGATCCTCCATTTTTATTGAGAATAAACTAAAACATCTGGTATGTTTATTATTTATTGAGTTATACTTGAATATAACAAGTGGCAAGTATAGTGTTTGCCAGCAGTCAGAGTAACCTGCACTCCTTCTAATGGAACCAAATCCAATCTTACCTTAGCCCTGCCTGTGAAAAAGGGCTTAGTCACTTCATGGACTAGCTAATACAGTTCTTTCTTTTATATTCTGGTTTACTTCCTTTATTCATTTAACAAATGCATGTAGGGATGTTTCTGTAGTTAAAATAGCAATGCTGTATTTGTAGAAGACCTAAATATGACCCATACCTGGAAATGCAGACAATCTGTGTAGCAGGCACAGAAATCAACAACGGTCCTCTTCGGTGAAATATGCCATGTAAGCGGAAGTACTGCCATCAGAACAAAATCATAAAAGTGGAGAAAAGCTCCAGTAAAACCATTATGAAAAAATGGAAAGGTTGTAGCATCCAATTTTGTAACTAGGCAGGTCTGGTGGCTAGGGGGTCTACTCAAATCATGGGGCCAGCCACCATTTATGTGGGCTTATTGTGGCAGAGGCCCGCCATTTGCCACTGATTGGCCGCATTACAGGTAGGCTTCTCGGCAAATTAGGAGCGGACTGCAGGGATTCAGTGGCCATAAGAACTACCTCTGGGGAGCCAGCATTTTATTTTCAGTAAGGTTTTTTGGGGGGTTTTTGTGGATTTTGCAGGCATTGCCCAGCTTTGCAGGCAATTCCAGAATTCACAATTTCTGCCAAATGTACAAAGTTGTAATTTGAGTAGGTCCCTGGTTGCACATCTTGGACTTGGATAGCTCAAGTTCAGTTTTTTTTACTGTCCTGCAGACTTGCTATGTAACTTGGCCAACTTGCCTAATCAGTCTGTTTTCCATCAGTAAAATGAGCATAACCATGTTTCTCTTTCTCGGAGGTATAATACATGGATAAATACTGTACAAATTATGCTAAATACTATGGTGAGGGAAGCGATACTGATGCTTTAAGCAGGCTGTGACCACTAAAAATGGGTTCACAGAAATCATTGAAAATTGGTTGGGAGGGGTCTTCAGAGATCTTCTTGTTCAACCACCTACCTGAGGCAGGATGTTCCCTATCCAGACCATCCTATGCAAATCCATTACCTAACCTATCAGCAAAACTAAACACAACCCTGACACAACCATAAGCCATGACACCCTAACCTGCCACAGGTAAATTAGAGGACCACAATGGTCAACATCCTGCTGTTGCAAAAGTTGTTTAAAATGCTCTCAAGAGATTACAGGAAGAGGGCTGAACCCCCCTGCTCTAGCCCCACTTTTCTCTCTCTGTAGACAGTAAGATGAGAACAAATGGCTTGAAGTTGCAGCAAAATAGGTTTAGATTGGAACTGGGGGCTGGGGCATGGCCCTCTTTCTGGCTGCCCTTCAATATTTAAAGTCTGCTGTCATATTCCCTATTAAGCGCCTTTGCCCCAAGCTGAACATGCATAGCTCGTTCAGCCTATCCGTGTATGATTTGCCTTCCAAGGCCTTTTTCGTCCTTGTTGCTAGCCTCTGGACCTTCTCTGACTTCATATCCTTTTTAAAATGTGGAGTCCAAAACTGCGCACACTACTTGAGGAGGATCAAACAGTACCAAATAGAGAGGTGGTATCTCTATTGTCCTTCACCTCGTACTCCTGTTGATACATCCCAAAACTGCATTTGTCTTTTGTACAGCTACATCACGCTGCAGCCTTATATTGAACCTGTGTTCCACCAAGACTCCCAGGGCCTTTTTCATAGTTCTGCCATCCAGCTGGGTGTCACCCATTTTGTATTTTTGTTTACTCTTCCCGAGGTGTAGTACCTTGCATTTGTCAGCATTGAACTTCATCATGTTAAGTCCAGCCCAGATTTTCAGTCTGTTAGGATCCGTCTGAATTGTGCTCCTGTCCACCCGCAGTGTATTCAGAGTCCTTTCCAGTTTCATGTGGTCTGTAAATTTGCTCAAGAATCTCTCTATTCCAATGTCCAGATCATTCAAAAACACGTTGAACAGCACTGGGCCCGAGAGAGATCTCTGTGGGACTCTACTTGGAACCACCTGCCATTTTGACATGGATCCATTTACAAGTACCCTTTGTTTGCAGCTGTTAAGCCAGTTTTCTCTTCACCTTCTAACAGTTTTGCTTAGCGCACATTTTCTCAATTTATTTATGAGAGAGTCATGTGGGACTTCATTTTTCCCCTTAGTGCAAATGAGTCATGCTAGACTAAACAGTACCTTTTTCTGTATTTGACTGGACATTGACTTGTGGCCATTTGTAGGAAGGATATTCAGTGGGGAAAATTATAAGGTTTTGTTTACAGTTAAGCTAATTTCTCACAGAATTTACATTACTTTTATTCTAATGAGCATAAGTAATTACAAAGATTTCTTTTGAAAAAATGACTTGGGTTGGAATTATTATTTTGCATTTATTTTAAGGTCATGCTGCAAATTTGCATTCTGAAGCAGACAACCTCAGGCATCAGTGCATTGAATTTTTGCAGTATGTAAAGGTTTTCATCTTTAGGTAAGCTGCCAAGCACAAATTGAGTTACTAGCTTATTTTGTATTTTAATTCTGTAACCATCCCTTATTCATTCTCTAATGATGCATTGATGGTACCGATGATATATTGGTTCATTCAGGTTCCTGGAACCACCAAAAGCAGAGTATGATGGGCTACTACATCCATATGAAGAACTAGAAGCTCAGCTGCCTTCAGTGCTGGTTGATGAGCTTCATGCCTTAACTTTGCATATTGGACACTTACATGAACTCCATGGTAGTATCCTGGGAGCATTTACTGTTCAACCTCCGGCAAAGGTTTGGTTGTTTTTGTGCCTCATTACGTATCATATAGCAGTCCAGGTGTAACTTGTATAGGTTATTGGAAAATAAAAGTATGCTTGATTTCAGAAATGAACTTAATTCTTGTTTATTTTTTGAAGTGCCAAACACATTTTTTAATTCATATGCATTAGACCATATTTACTTCATATGTTGTAGGGTTTTCCCCTACAACATTTCCCTTATGTGGTCTGTATTTGCACTATGCAAGCAACATAGAATAATAATTCAAGGTGACTAAGCAGTCTTGATCAAACACCCTGTCACAGTGTTACTTTTTTTTTTTTAAATTGTCTGTGGTTATCCATGAGGATAGTAAGCTCTGAAATAGATGAAGCGTGTCTACAAAGACGTATTCTAAAAGTTGCTTGAATATATAAAGAGATCTTTTTTTTTTTTTGTAGGTGAAAACTATAGTTTTTTATTTTCACACCTACAACATTTCATACGCTAAAGCATGCACCTGTAGATTTTAATATGTGGTATGGAATCTTCTCATGCTTGTAGATCTGTGAATCATTATCAGGAAGAATGACCTATTTAAGAAATTACATTTATGTTCTTGTCATTCGCTTTTTGAGATAAGGGCTTTGTCCTAGTAGAGAGTGGTTCTGAATTCACATTATTTGAGTGGTTAGCAATTCTATATTCTCAACTAAATTGTGTCCTGGGAAGGAAGGATAATTGGTGATGCTTTACCTGTTGACTTTGAGTTAAGATGCCATGGTGAATTAGGTTGCAGTTTAGAGTAAAGAATTTATGAACGTGCTCTAAGAAAAAAATAATTGTGATGGGAAAAGCATTTTCTGTTTTGCACTAGAATACAGCAGTTAATTTGATAAATATATCAGTGGGGCTTTCATGTGAGAATTGGGGCCTGCCATTCCACATTTCTGAGTAAAGAATCCTGACCTTACTGAGCAACATTACATAGAAAAAACATGATTGTCTTTTATCACAGCTGTTTCCCCCATCATGGCATTTACTCCATCTCCACTTGGATATCCATTGGCTAGTACTGGAAATTCTTCATGTCCTAGGCGAGAAGATGCCAGGTGAGTCTACGTTTTGCAGTGCAACTAATTTCTTATTCTCCTTCTGGATTATTTATATTTTTGATCTGAAGCTATCCAAATTATTTTACTTTTCTTGAGGCTGTAGAAGTTGGGTCTATATTAAGTTGCTTTTATTTTTTGTTTGTTGAAATTAGAGCTTAATACTGACTAAAATTTAAATATGGGGAAGCCAGTTTTTTCAAATTTTCCCACATGCTTGGCCAGTTCACATCAATCTTGATCTGTTAACTATTGATCCTGTCCTAGTGAAGCTTGACCATTAAATCAGAATACAGATTTGCGCTATCTGAAGTAGACTGAGATTGTCAAATTAATTTGTACTTTACACTTACAGGAAGTTGAAGTTTTAATTGTTATTAAAAAGATGCTAAGAATACCTTTGCAGAGATTGTAAGGTGCATTATAGCACAAGGTCTTTTGACATGAATTTATACAGAAAAGCTATCTAAGCATAGCTGGTACGGATTTGAAAAAACTGGCTAAAATTTTAAGATGTCTTGATTCTCTGGTTTGAAGACCTTATCTTTGAAAGAGAGAACTTTCCTACTGGTTCTAGGCTATCTAATTTTGCTTCTATTACTAGACTTCTTAGACAAAATGTTTTAAAGTGATTTCAAATAGAAAATCCACATTATAAACTACAGACTACCACTAAGGAGATATTGAGGAGGGGGAAAAAAGAGATTGTAGCCAAAGGAGTTATGAAAATATAGTGAGAAAAGGGCAAACCAAT